GTGTCACAAAACAGCTGTGCCTACAGGGTGATCATGATGTGTTAAAAAAAGAAGAACGTAAATCAATAAGACGGGACATCTTGAACGTGAGCATCGCCAAAAACGTAAACCTATAAAAGGAGAAAACGTTACCAAAAAAAGTAAGTCCAAAGAAAAGATTAATAGATTTACGTTATTTGTTGCAAACTTCCAGACTTACTCACCACACTTCAGCGAGTTGTCTCTTCTTATAGACTTACGTTCTTTGCTGCAAGGTTCCTTTTCTTTTGAACGTGTGTGTGTTGTCCCTTCTTGTAGATTTACGTTCTTTGGTTTGACTTGCCTTTGGTTGGCTTGGCAGCACTGTATCAACCTTTGGACCTGTCACTTGTTGCAGGGAGCGTTATCTTTTTTGTTCATTTTGTAAACTTTATTAAATCAATTTATTTTGTTGAGTGCCTATATTAAAAATTTGTTTATATCAACCAAAATATGGCACGTGTACTCGTTGGTGTTAAACGCGTGATCGATTATGCCGTTAAGGTACGATATACGAGAAATTTTCGTAGCACTTATCTACGAATTTGTTGCCTTTTGCATAATCAACAGCGCAGCACCCGCTTTGAGATTTATCTGCTCCCTGCTGCGACTTTTATGACCTTTACACATATATTCTAATACGATGTTTTCTAGGTACGTGTTAAACCTGACAAGACAGGTGTGGTTACTGAAGGTGTTAAGCACTCAATGAACCCTTTCGATGAAATCGCTGTCGAAGAGGCCATCAAATNGCCAATTTTCTATACGCGTTGTTGCGTTTCTAAACAAAAAAAAAAAAAAAGACTTGCCTTTGGTTGGCTTGGCAGCACTGTATCAACCTTTGGACCTGTCACTTGTTGCAGGGAGCGTTATCTTTTTGTTCATTTTGTAAACTTTATTAAATCAATTTATTTTGTTGAGTGCCTATATTAAAAGTTTGTTTATATCAACCAAAATATGGCTCGTGTACTCGTTGGTGTTAAACGCGTGATCGATTATGCCGTTAAGGTACGATATACGAGAAATATTCGCTTTTTTTGTAGCACTTATCTACGAATTTGTAGCCTTTTGCATAATCAACAGCGCAGCAGCCGCTTTGAGATTTGTCAGCTCCCTGCTGCGACTTTTATGACCTTCATACATATATTCTAATACGATGTTTTCTAGGTACGTGTTAAACCTGATAAGACAGGTGTGGTTACTGAAGGTGTTAAGCACTCAATGAACCCATTCGATGAAATCGCGGTCGAAGAGGCCATCAAACTGAAGGAAAAGAAGATCGCCGCTGAAGTCATAGCAGTCTCAGTTGGCCCAACGCAATCTCAGGAGGTGATACGTACTGCGCTGGCGATGGGGGCTGATCGTGGCGTACATGTTGAAGTGTCTGGCAAGGAATACGATTTACTGCAACCCATTCATGTCTCCAAGATTTTAGCGAAATTGGCATTAGACGAGAAAGCCGATTTGGTAATTCTTGGCAAGCAAGCCATTGATGATGATAGTAACCAGACAGCACAAATGACCGCTGCCGTCTTAGATTGGCCGCAGGGTACTTTCTGTAATAAAGTAGAAAAGACAGATGCTGGCTTGACTATCACACGTGAAATCGATGGTGGTCTAGAGACTATTAAAACTAAGATCCCAGCAGTGCTGAGCGCCGATTTGCGCCTGAATACACCACGTTATGCAACGTTGCCAAATATCATGAAGTCAAAGAAGAAGCCATTAAAGAAAATCACGCCAAAGGATTTGGGAGTCGATACAACACCACGCATCGAGATTGTTTCTGTTGAGGAGCCGCCTGTGCGCCAGTCAGGTGCTTTGGTACCTGATGTAGACGCACTCGTCGCCAAACTGAAAGAAGGCGGCCACATCTAAACACAGATGTTGTTAAATGATATAACAGCAGGTTTAAAGTGCATTTATAAAATATATTTTTCCGATTTTAATTTTTTTTATTCCCGAAATTCTTAGATAAATTAATGAAATTTGAAAACCTCTAAAACAATCTTTATGTTTCCGAATTCGTGTGTAGTCTATTGGAAGTAGATAATAAATATTTACGTTTAATCCCATAACGAATTGGAACAGATAACTAGGCGTTTTATTTGAAAGTGCATGTGGTGTCGTCAGTAGAATACATACTTATTAATTACAGCTCAAATATGTTGAAGTAAAATCGCTTGAAATGAGATTGCTGCGTAAATTTGGTCTCCGCACACTATTGCATTCAAGTCATTGTCATATAATTATGTGAGAAACTACAGAATGCTGTATCGTTCCCATAAACGGTAATATCTCGAGGTTATTTTGCAAAGCATTTAAGGAATTTTCNAAGATTTTAGCGAAATTGGCATTAGACGAGAAAGCCGATTTGGTAATTCTTGGCAAGCAAGCCATTGATGATGATAGTAACCAGACAGCACAAATGACCGCTGCCGTCTTAGATTGGCCGCAGGGTACTTTCTGTAATAAAGTAGAAAAGACAGATGCTGGCTTGACTATCACACGTGAAATCGATGGTGGTCTAGAGACTATTAAAACTAAGATCCCAGCAGTGCTGAGCGCCGATTTGCGCCTGAATACACCACGTTATGCAACGTTGCCAAATATCATGAAGTCAAAGAAGAAGCCATTAAAGAAAATCACGCCAAAGGATTTGGGAGTCGATACAACACCACGCATAGAGATTGTTTCTGTTGAGGAGCCGCCTGTGCGCCAGTCTGGTGCTTTGGTACCTGATGTAGACGCACTCGTCGCCAAACTGAAAGAAGGCGGCCACATCTAAACACAGATGTTGTTAAATGATATAACAGCAGGTTTAAAGTGCATTTATAAAATATATTTTTCCGATTTTAATTTTTTTTATTCCCGAAATTCTTAGATAAATTAATGAAATTTGAAAACCTCTAAAACAATCTTTATGTTTCCGAATTCGTGTGTAGTCTATTGGAAGTAGATAATAAATATTTACGTTTAATCCCATAACGAATTGGAACAGATAACTAGGCGTTTTATTTGAAAGTGCATGTGGTGTCGTCAGTAGAATACATACTTATTAATTACAGCTCAAATGTGTTGAAGTAAAATCGCTTGAAATGAGATTGCTGCGTAAATTTGGTCTCCGCACACTATTGCATTCAAGTCATTGTCATCCAATTATGTGAGAAACTACAGAATGCTGTATCGTTCCCATAAACGGTAATATCTCGAGGTTATTTTGCAAAGCATTTAAGGAATTTTCTGCTCTAAAAAACATCACAACATTTTTTCGTGCGAATTATTTTATTTATGTATATTGGAGCTTACAAACATGGCAGTCTATCTTATGTCTATATGCATGATTTTGCGACAAAAAGATTACATACTATGTATAGTAGAACATTTTAAATTTGAATAAAATGTATATGCAAGTTAAACGTGTATAAAAGCATATCAAAATTCTTAATATTTACTTGGAAAGTGGCTTGTTTCGTTGGATATCTAATTCGTTTGGAATGTCGCCCAAATGATTAGTTCAGGGACCGCTAAGTTCAATAGAAATTACATGCGTATATAAACGCAAATACATGCATATGTATTTATTTTCTTAAATGTTGAGATACTGTTTATTAAAAAAATACCAAAAGTTCGTCGTCAAAATCTGTTTTTATAAAATGAGTAAAATTTTAATCTTAGATGAGAAAATAATTGTTTGAACTAAAATCTGAAGCTTTGTCAACGCTTCCAAAATATTCACCATGGATGGTTTCACTTTTCAGTAAACTATTGGACTTATCGCAGTGCCGTTTTATCACTGAAACGCAAAATTCGTGTCAGCATTGTAGTAATGCATGGAATCTGTTTTTGTTGATGCATTTCAGGATTGTCCGGAGTACAAGACTCGAAGTCAACTGCAACTCGTTGGCACACGAATGTTAGCAGTGTGAGTATATCTAAGCGTTTACCATTCGCTGCCAATTCGGCACAGAGAGATTGCATAAACCAAGAGCCTCGTGTAGTATTGCGCCATGAATAGAATCCCGGTATAGTAGAATAGGCAATCAAAAAATCGGCGTGCAAAGGGATTTTATAACTCATTGATGATTCACCGTCAGTTTCGGTACGTCCAGCTCGCTTCATTGTTACACCTGGATCGAGGCGATCACCTTGGCAAGCTTGTATGAAGAACAGCTTAGGCTTTCCTCCCAAACTTGGGCAATGCTGCGGTGTAAAGTAAGCCCATATTTGATCCAATTTGTATTGCACATCCTTCGCATAAATATAACCAAGTTCCCCATGTGAGAGTATAGCAATCAAAATGCAATCGTTGTCCTTGTGGTCTTGCTGCCCCGCCCATTCTACATGTTGTTTTAATTGCTTTAAGTTGCAATCTTTAAATACTTTCACATCAAAATCCAGTTGTTTAAGTACACGGGCCAAATTATCACAGTCGACATTGGTGCCTGCGCGTGACTTCAACGTGGGGACCTCAAAGTTTTCATGATTGAAAATCAATGCCATTCCTCGATTCTTGTGGCGCATATTATATTCGGCCGCATGTCGGTCGGTAACCATGCGTGCTGTGTAACTGTGATAACTGCTGCCATAACCATTAGCAAGTTGACCTATAGCACCAACACCTGAAGCGGCGCCGCCGCCACCACCACCAGCGCCACTATAATAGCCACTGCCACTAGGTGCACCCGATGACGAGCCTAATGAACCGAAAGCGTCGGTTAGATCGTTTGTTGTACCCACTTGATCCTCGGATACGCTCATTGTTGTGAAATTCTGCGCAACTCTTGCAAATTGATGTTGCTAAAAAGGATATGTTTTATGTGTATAACTTTTCGGGCCTCTTAAAGATGAGTCACTTTGCACTCATGTATTTGACCTGCACTTTGTTCAATTTGTAGGTAAAAACAACGAGTTTTCTAGTCCAACCGTTTGCGTTGCCTGTTGTATTTTGATGCTTTATGCCTGCGCGTTGCACTATTCAAATGCATCAGCTTGTATTTTCCTTTTGTTTTCCATTTTCGATTTTTGCGATTGGTCTTTTCCCCTATTCGCAAAAAAATCCCAACCGCTCGCGCTAGTGAATTTTTGGTCCCACCCGATTAGAGCTCTCAAATCAAGAGACGCAGGGTTGCATGCAGTGCAATGCGGTTGTTTAGAGTAATGGGTTCTAAACTTTAAGCACTTCAGATCTAATTTTAATAAAAAAAATTAATGGAGGGTAACTGTTTAAGCCTCCTGTTAAATTAATTCAGAATCAC